CACACACACACACACACACACACACACACACACACACACACACACACTCACACTCGTACACACACACACACACACACACACACACACATACACACGCCCATATCCTTTTCATTGTTTGTGTTGTGTGACAGTCGGCCTGTGATGTTTACCCACAGGATAATGCACTGGGCCAGGCGTATCGAACAGGAGATTGACAGAGTCTTTCAGCACATCACTGGTGCTCAGCAGTTGAAAGGGGTGAGTGTGTAGCTCTCTTCTTATCGTCCACAGTTCTTACTCATCACATTGCAGCATAAACTCAACAAGAAGAGGCCAGCATGCAAAATAGCTGTAAATCCAATAAGTTTAATAGTTATATAAAACCAAAAAACAATTACAGTCTACCTTTCAGAAGCCACTTTGTTTCTTTTTTCATGGTTTTCTGCGACAATAACACAATGTTTTTGTTTTCCCTGGACAGACATACAACTCTCTCTAATAGCTTTTATATTCATCAGATTTATGAATGTATGCTCTGTTTTTTATATACCGTAGCTAGATTTTCCTGGCACTTTGTGTATTGTTTGCAATAATTATCAATCTTGACACGTTGCACGTCTCCTACAAAGCGAAAGAGAAGCCTGAACACACGCCTACAGTGATCAGATTTAGAGTATCTGGTATTATGTTTCATCAAGTCATGAGCTTAATAACACCTACAGTCATGAATACTAATTCAGGTCTTTCATAAGCTGACCATGTGTGTTATTTGTTACTAGTGGAACAATTCGTGAAGTGTTTTATTACTTTGTATTCATGCGGCCTTATCTTTCATCAAGCTCTCAATCAGATCCATTTTGCATTACATTTTGCATGACATGGTAATCTGATATTTGGCTCTCTGCGGTGACCTGATTTCTAAACTTGCATACTCTGTAAATGAGACTCGGCATTTACAATTCTAAAGCCTTCGGCCTAGATTTCAGAAGTGGCAGACAAAAAATACATTTTGAAGGATATCTCAAAATCTGAGCACATAAAAGTGAGGAAAAAATATATATTTTTGGTGATCTTAGTGAACTGACCCTTTAAGAAGATAAAATAAATCTCTCTCTCTAAGAGAAAGGGAGCTGATTATTTGGCTTTGTATACACTATTCATGGTTTTGGCACTGTTGTGTAGAAAATATTTTAGAGCTGAAACAATGAGTTGATTATTAGATTAGTCTCTATTTTCAAAATCAATTATTCGTTTGAGTAATTTTCAAGCAAAAACAGCAAAAAAACAAACAAAAAAACAGTTGTTGGTTCCAGTTTTTCAAATGCGAGGATTTTACTTTTCTTTGTTTGATATGACAGTAAACTAAATATGTTTGAGTTGTGATATTTATGTTGTTTTCTAATATATTATAGACAACATTATCAAGAACATAATCTGCTAATGTATTGATAATGACACTAGTTGTTGGTTGCAGACATAAATAATTGTATCCTGAAACTGAACTAAGCTGTACTGATTTTTGTTCTGATGCTTGTTCTATAAGCTGGGGTTTTAGACGTAACTATTGCACTGACTATTGTCCTGCATGTAAATGTCCAACTTCCTATTTTCACCTGATTTTTCACAGTGATCTGGTTTGCATGTCAACAAAGTCGTGTTGGGCATATGTTGCATACTCAAATTCATGAAGATATCACCGTGTACCTGTCGGTTGTTTCATGTCCTTGATGTAACAGGTGGCTGTGAATAAGTGGTTGAACCTAAAAAGACAAATGCCAAAAAATAGGACCAAAGATCATCTGTAGGGGGCGAGAGAGCCCTGCTCTGTGAAGATGTGTGGGGGCGTTCCCTCAGCAGAGACCAGCGGCACGTGTCCTCTGTTGTGTCACAGCAGAGCAGATGGTCAGCCTGCAGTTAATGCCTTGATGTGAGACTCACTTGTTCATCCAGTCCTCATTAATCCCTCTATGTTCCTGAAACACTCTGGATCTGTTAAAGAAATTGTGTCTTGTTGCCTGTAAACCTGAGTATATCTTCTCTTCTCGAGGAAAAGCTTTTAACTTTAATTAAAACTTCTCATTCGATATAAAGCCGCAATTTTACATTTGCAGATGCTCTTGATGGCCTCCGTGATACAGCCCAGCTCCACATCAGGGTTCTACCACACAGACTGCTTGACTACGCTTTAGCAGGACAGTTTTTGATGGTGATGCTTTTCGATGTAATCCCTCAAATTTTTGCTTTTTAAAAAAATTAAAGAAAGCATGATTATCTGGAGGTTTAGGAAAATCTGTGCTACTAGTTAAAAACACTTCAAGACTCCTTTTACTATTTGTCAAAATAAGAAGACTAAGAGTCTACAGCCATGCCGGCCACTCTGTGAGGCTGTTCTTAGGGACAGAGGTGCTTCAAAACGTTAACGACAACATGCTAATATGCTCACATTGCAAGACATTTTAACTTAGTGGAGACCGTTGACATTTCCAGGTCCCATGTCTGGCTGGTTTGCTAAACGTTTCATCTACATCATATCCGTCGTCAGAATTACATCTTGATTGTGAATATATTCTACACGGCTCCTGTTTCTTCTCAGACAGCAGCCAGTTCACATGAAACACCCTGTTTATTACTGCATCTTCCCATCTGTGCGGCTTGGGCCAATAAAGCATCTGGTCAGTACACAACTTGAGGGATGTCTTGAAGTGCATTTGGTGAAGTCCATTTATAGAGAGAGTGATGTTATACAGCATGTAGGTTTGCTAAATATATTCATCCAGCTCGTTGTCTGCCTCCATCTCCTCTCTGATGTATTTGCTCTTGAGAGTCTTATGGCATTAAACCCACCAGACAGCGAGCTTATAGCAAGATATCATCATGGTTCGTATGTGTAATAATATACAGCTGAAGACAATGTCTGTATAGTTGGATATTGCAGGCAAAACCAAGCATATAATAAAAGGCGTTATTTGTTTTTGGAGAGGTCTGAATGTGGGCAGCTGCCAACTAAAGCTATGAAAGTTCCTCTTTGTGCTCCTGTTTATGAATAGACGTGTTCTGAGCAAACAGGCAGTATTTCATGCCAAAAAAAGCACCAAGCTTTCTCTAGAAAGTAGAAATTAGTTTGAAACAAAATAGTCACTCAGACATTTGCTCTTGCTGCTCAGTGTCGTTCCCAGATGTCTCCCGATGACCCATAAAGTTCTCTGGTGTTAGAAATCATAAGGAATACTTTGTGAGCATGTTGAAAGGCCACATTTCAGAAGATAACTGGGATGTGTGGTCTAATTTAACTTAAAGTCCTCTGGGGAAGAGCATTAAGAGCAGAATCTGGGTTAATCTGTAAGCTTTAGACCCAAGTCAGAAAGTAATACATTCAAATAGATTGTTGCAGTCTTGTGGTTTAAATGGACTGTGAGCTGCTCGTTTATTTCAGAAATATTTGTCATCTTTGAACATGAAATAAACCTCGATCTTCAACATTATTGTCCGAGGCTGGTGTGGTTTAAACCTCGTGATCATCCTGTAAATCTCACACCAACTTTATTGGACAAAGTCACACCTTGTCTTTGTGTTGTTATGTTGTTGTTACAAGCCACCGTTGGCAGCTTTAAGTGCATTTTTAAATAACATGTAGCAGTTACTCAGGATGTTGTTTTTAGGGTGATGTGTTGTTTTTTATTCTAAAATGCTCCATATTCTGTGAATTGTTCTTTCAAAAACCATTCTGTTCTTGTATATACATGATTATTATTATTAGATTGTTTCATGGCGAAGAGAGTAAATGCAACGTAGTGTCTGTGCGATTGTTCTGTGAAAACGTGGTTCAAAGACAACAGACATGGTGTGTAAATAGATCACATGAAAGGATCCATATTTAGATTTGGAGTGAACACACAAACACAACAAGTGACTGTTCCCCTGTGTCCTCAGTGTTCAAATATAAGAAGGATTTGATTTTGCAAATTCATGAGTTTCTGGATTATTATCATTATTATTTTCAGGATTGTTTTGAGATCTTGAGCTTCGAGCTTGTTTCTCTACAGATTTGTAAATCGTTATTTTCAAATAACACCACGCATATACTGCCCATAACAATCAGCTGCACTAATGGTAATACAGATTCAGTTTAGACAATATGTCAAAGGTTACAAATTGTCAATAGCAAGACATTAGGTCAGCAGAGAAAGACTTAATTGAAAGACTATTCAACCGTTATTGCTTTTAAGTTTTTCCCTTTTTCCATGAAACATTTACAGATATACAATGAAGAAAGACGACGGTTTAGTCTGGTGAAGAATCAGCCTCGGAAGATTGTGGAGAAGGTGGCCTCAGATATAGAGAAGCTCCTGGCTAAGAAGCGCAAAGCACTCGATGTAAGTATATTATTGATGCAACTAACTGTTGCTTTTCTATCTGCTACTTCTTTCTTCTTATGTTTTTAACTGCAAATGAAGTGATCACTCAGAACTACATTGTTCACTTTTGAGTAAGAAAGTAAAGTAGTAGCTTCTTGCTAATTTAATGTTTAAGTGTTGAATCAGGGGTATTTTGATTTGTTTCATCTTGCAAAGATGAATTTGTGGACAAAGCAAACTTGCAGCAATTTAATAAAGACAAAAAATATTTAAACATTACTTGCTATTAGTAATTAATTCATTGTTAAAGGTCTGTCATAGTTCTTTGATTCCAGGTAGTATGTATATTTACTGTCGATATATATTCTTATCTTGTTTTGAAGGATCGTGTTAAACAGAGTAGCTCAAGATGGCTATATGGGTTTGCAAATTACAACCAAAACATTTGACATTTAAGTGAATGAAAGCATTACTGATATTGTCTGAGCATCTCTCTTGTAGTTCAAAGTACAAGACGACATTATTTACCAAAGTTAGTAAACCCAGTTCTGTCTCAGCGCCATGTTTCACAGGGTTCCTCCCCCTTTGACAAGAGAAATCAGACATGTCATGTTTAATGTTTCTCTGTTTCCAACATGTAGAGGCTAGCCAGTGAAGCAGAGCGGCTCCAGCGAGAGCATCTATGGCAGGATGGAATCAAGGTAAAATCCTGTCTTGATACAAAGACAATGCTGTATCTGATCAGTATTATTGACACCCCTTTACTTTTCTTATGTACGCAAACTCCCCAAACTGTCATTTGTCTGTTATGTGTTGGGGATTTTTTTTAATCCTCATTTCCTAATATAGTGGAAACATTACGCAATCAAATCTACCCACTGATGTAAATTCAAACCAGATGGGTCTGATGTCTTTGAGCACTGTGACTCTAAATGGGACGACCTGAGAGAGACAGAACATTTCTAGCAGTCAGCTGAGCCGATCCCCCAGCGCTCAGCTGGGCGAAACAGATGACCGAGTGCACTCGGCTGTGCGGTTCCGTTGAGTCCTACACACATTGGCATTCCACTTTTCCACTCGGTCTCCTTCATTTGCCCAACAAAATGAGATGGGGTTAACCTCGTCCTCTCACATGGCCTCTCACGTACTTCCCTGAGGCGCTGAATCCCTCTGCCATTTTAAGAGACACTGGTGGTTTGAGCCCATTCATTGAAAATGGTGTAGACTTTTAAAACATTGTCATTTTCCAAAACACGTATTCTAAACATGTATTTCTAAAAGTGTTTCTGGCTGAAGAGGAAGGTCAATACCACTCTTGTCTTTACCCGCAAAATATGAAGCTACAGCAACTGGTTAATTTAGCTTAGCATAAAGACTGGAAACAGATTCATATAAAACAGATGAAACATTTTCTAGAGGATTGGAACACTGCTGACAGGCTAAGATCTAAAGAAGCAGGGCTCTCAGGAGAAGTTAACTTGGAGGATGAGCAATGTCGCTTCTCTGGACTGACTGATAAAAAACAATGGCTGGTAACGGCTGAATGTTTTCAGAGATGTCAGAGCGGGAGATCCGTATGACTCACAGCAAGAAGACAAATAGCCGTCAGAAAGACATGTCGTATTATGTGAAATGTGATATAGGCTAAGGCACTCTCCGGAGATAAGATTTGGTAATCAGAACAGGCCGAGAATAAGAGCATAGCAGCCTCCGAGTGGATGTCACGCTTATTCTGAAGTATGTTCGGTCTCTTCAGAAACTAAGACTAACAGATGGCGATGCTCCATCCAAGCCTTACAGCCTGTCTACTGATTCAAAATGTGAGAGCACTGAGCCGAAAGCTAGAGCAAACATTTGGTGGTTACAGCTTCACAAATGCAAGGATTTGAGACTTTTCTCTGTTTCACGTCATTGTAAACTAACCATTTTTAAATAAGCATCTTTGAGATATAACTTTGTTGGATGTGGTTACTTTTGATGCACATTTGTCTTTCGTGTTACAGATGGAGTCATTTATTAATTAATTTCACAAAATACATTTTAAAGTAACCGTATTCGTCCCACAAATGATTCTAGGTACACGTATGAACTGTCAATCAACACATTTATTGAACTGGTTCTCGTGAGACAATGAGCTTTGATGCATGGTTGTGACTCGTCTTTGAATGTTTCTATTGTGATCCGAGCAACATGTCTTTGTTTGTGACCCACTCCACCAAAATACAGGAAGAGTTCACTATCATTGTTGTAAATAGTAGCCTACTGCAATTTACTTATAGGTCATGATGCTCGTGTAAGCCCATAGCCAGTCAAAAAAACATACTGATTTCACTGATTAGTTGTGTAACTCTTCTACCATATTTGACACCTTTATAATTTTGATAATATGCATTTTGTAACTAGATTTTTCTAGGCAAAACCTATATTCTACATTTGTTTAATTCATCATCAATTTTGACTGCAACTATTCGCAATAAACGTTTTTTTTTTGTAAACAGCTCGGGTTATCCTGAAAGAAAATATGCATTACGTCCATAATTGAACAAAAACGCAGTTTTGAAGATTGTTACGGTCAATTGTCAGTAAAGATTGGTTATGATTAATCAAAACAATCTTTAGTTACAATCCTAATTAAGTAGCCTCCATGTGTCTGGAGGTTGACCTGACCTGTGTGTACAATATTGAATGACTCGTCCTCGTGTTGTTTCACAGTTGTCAACATTGCAGCCTCCTCATGTCTGCGTCTGTTTTCTCCTAGGAGCTGGACATGGCTTATTATGACTCCAAGGCAGAGCTGGACTATGTGAGTGAGAGACCTATAAACACATCGGTCTGCTTTGTGTATATTTACTGAGGCCATTCGACAGAAAAAGAGATTATTTGATGTGTTGTGTCTCATTTGAAATACATAGTCTTAAATTAAGTCTCAAAATGCAATTTAGAAAGTAGGTCATTGCAACAGTGCTGGTGAAAAGATGAAGGTTAATGTGACATGCGTGCTTTCTCGTGTTCTCAAAGTACTCCATGGATGGAGAAGGAGAGGTGGAAAATCCTTCGCACATCAAGCTGGAGTTTGTTTATGATCCAAACTTCAAAAATAATGTCAACTATTCCTACACAGCTGTTCAGATTCCCACAGATATTTATAAAGGAGGCAAGTGAAGTTCTGATTATATTATTTATTTCCCTGGAAAGATGTCATATGCTGGTTGATTTCATTTGATTCATTTTACATATTTCAAGGAGCATATCTAAGAAGTTTCAACTCTTTTTTTCAATCAGCTCCAGTCATTCTGAATGAGTTAAACTGGACGCAGGCGCTGGAGAAAGTGTTCATGGAGAACAGTCAGGAGGATCCATCGCTGCTGTGGCAAGCGTTCGGGAGTGCGACTGGTGTCACTCGCTACTACCCAGGTAGCTTTTAACCACCATCCCTGTGATTTCTAACCTGATGTTCAGTATGAAGGGTGAAGGGACATTTTTTAAATGGACGGAACAAGGGTTAACTCAAATTTACATAAACAGTGTCATGGACAAGGTCTTTTAATTTTTTTCAGCTACACCTTGGAAAGCCCCCGATAAGATTGATTTGTATGACGTCAGGAGGAGACCCTGGTACAGTATGCTGCTTAAAACATATTTTCATGTCAGCCTATCACAGCTGCAGTAGATTTACAGGGTTGACATACTGCATCCTCTCTTTTTCTTTGTCACAGGTACATCCAGGGAGCCTCATCCCCAAAAGATATGGTCATTCTTGTTGATGTGTAAGTAATACATAGTGTTCATACATTTTCTTGGGTTTAGTTATTGGCTAGCATGTGAATGTAGCATAGGTCTACTGGCAAAAAGTACATGCATGTTGCTTCTACTGCTTATATCCCTGCTAATTAAAATAAAAACATACAAAACTGTCCCTTTCTTTGTAGCTTTAAATAATTAACTGCTCTTGAAATCCATTCGTGAAGTTTTCCTCAGCCTTGCTTGCACTTCTGTCTCACTCACAAGGGAAAGAGACCATCTATGGTGTTATTTCACACAAGTGAGCAGCTTCTTTGTGCTTCTGGTCCTATAGGCCAGCAAATTAGAGAAACAAGTCAGACTAAAGTTGAATTGCAGTGGAAAAAGTGTGCAGCTGTCGCTGACTCTGCACCAAAACCAGCTGAGAGTGCAGCTCATATTGCTTATCATGTGTAACAAACTAAAGGTCAAGTTAGAGATAATTCAGACACAAGAAGAAAATCTGAATGGTTTGTACATGATGTTGTTTTGTAACAGTCTCTAACTGGATTAAAGTGATGCGATATAACATGTTAATTAGTGAGCTTTAAAGGTGCTAATAGGTGGATTTTGTTAAAAAAGTATTATTAATCCACGCAACTCTCTGCCAGAAAGTAAATAAGCGTATTTTCCAAAATGTGAAACTATTGATTAAAGCATAAACATGATGAAATTCTGCTTCCTGTTGGTAGATCAGACAGCAGAGTGTGTGTTGCTGAGTGTAGTCAAACTCATGGTCATGGTTGAGTACAGTAGCCTGTTGTTGTCACTGTGTTGTCCCCTCGGTTGCTATTCATTGTGGTGGTAATGTACCGTTCATTGGCAGTGTTTGCAAGGTTAATCCTATTATTAAGTTGAATGAGGAAAATGGGAGAGCAGCCCCTCATGAATGACCTTTCATCAACGTGGTTCATCAACATGCACATCAAGATAGTGGTAGAAGCAGTGGTGCATTCAGGTACGAATAGGAAACAATTAGCCATGAACAATGGAATGGAATTATTTTACACCCATAGTGAAGAAATGCAGCTGAATAAACTATGGGCCTCAAAACCTGATAATCATTTGCTTTATATGTATTCATTCAGACGGTATTTAGAGACATCAGGGTATATTTACTAAACAGTGTTTGTCTGTAGCTTTTAATTTTAGCAGCAAAACAAACCTTAATGCAACCCTATTGGAAATTGTGTTCGGGAAAAACAAACAGTTCATTAGCAAACTACATTAGTGCGTTCCTCTGTGTACTGCAAAACACTGGAGAAGGAAATACAAACAAACAGCCGCAGAAAAGCATTTATCAATGCTGATTAATCACTGCGGCAGCTGGGAAATCCTGTCTGTGATTGAACATCTGGAGAAAACACGTGTGAAGTTTTCAGCACTGCTGAAGACTTTGGTCGGGCGCTCAGAGGGCGTGAGTGTGCGTTGTTATTGACGCAGATAATTAAATAGAGCTACTGGATTAAAAAAAAAACCTGTTTAATAAGCAACCATACAAATGAGTTTAATTTTTATAATCTAATCACGGATATTTTTACTGAGTTACTATTTCCTCACATATCCTCCATTGTTGTGGGGACACAAGCTCACAACTAATTTGCACAAAATGTGTCTTCAAGATCCTCAAGATTAGGTCCAATTTAGCAGCACTTTCCTCATATCAACTGCAGCTGCACTCATATACTGCACAAAATAATTACTCTGCTTCACTGAAACACGGGCTGCTGCATAATTTAGCAGACCTCCAAGTAAAATGATCTTTTTGTTGGTGTTATATGAATTAGTATTTGAGCATGTGATTGGGATGATACTTGTGTGTTTCCTCAGGAGCGGCAGTGTCAGTGGACTCACCCTGAAGCTCATCAAAGCATCAGTGACGGAAATGCTGGACACTTTGTCTGATGATGACTATGTCAACGTGGCCAGGGTTAGTATCTGCTACGCTCACTGACTCTTCATCACTCATCACTCATTCTCTCATTTCACATCTCTCTATCTTTGTTCACTTGTTTCCTTAACTTCAGTTTTTACACATTGAAGCCCAAACTGTGTCTGCTGTTGTGTTTCAGTTCAACGAGAAGGCCGAGGCTGTGGTTCCCTGCTTCAAACATCTCGTCCAGGCGAACGTGCGCAACAAAAAGATCTTCAAGGATGCAGTGCAGCAGATGCAGGCTAAAGGCACCACTGACTACAAGTCTGGATTTCATTTTGGCTTCAACCAGCTGTTAAATGTGAGTCACATTGATTTACATCGACCTGGGATTACGTCAATACTAATGTCTCCACACAGTTGTACTGTATTGACCAACTACTGTTCCCTCTCATTCATCTCCCTTTTAAATGTATTTTTCAGAAGACAAATGTTCCTCGGGCCAACTGCAATAAGATAATCATGCTGTTTACTGATGGAGGAGAGGACAGAGCTCAGGATGTCTTCATGCAGTACAACTGGCCCAACAAAACGGTTGGTTTCTTCTGACCATAACAGACACCTTTCACTTGCATCCAGCATGTTGACCACCCTCTGAAAGCTTCTATATTTTTCTCCATTTGTTCCTCCGAAGGTTCGAGTTTTCACTTTTTCTGTGGGTCAACACAACTATGATGTTACACCTTTGCAGTGGATCGCATGCACCAATAAAGGTGAGCTGAATTTTCTGTGTGATTCATTGATTTATTTTTTTTATTCCCCATATCACAGTGGTTCCCAGCCTTTATTGTGTGATATACCCCCACAGCCCTTCATTGGTATCACCTGTCAAATCAGTACTTTTCGTTAACTATTTCAACTTCTCTGCATGCTTGTGAACTAGTTTTCACACACTCTGTTTGACCAGCGTAAAACCAATTTAAACTACTATTTGGCTGTTTTTTGTTTCTTCAGCAATTGCGGTATGATTAAAACATATACCCTCATATTTCACTATTTGTCTTGTTGGTTAATTAGTGGGTAAAAAATGAAAAGATTATACTATAGAATGTTTTCATAAGATTAAGAACTGCTCTGTAGTTACTTTCTGCCCTGTGTCCAAACGGGATGATTGTTATAGGTTGGACTTTAAAATATTTGTTCATAATGGCAGTGCCGTCCTGCCATGTGTAAAGCATTAAAGGAATATAGCTGAGCAAATAATGTCTAAATTCGTTCCTATAATAGCCCCACATTGTCCCTTGTAAAAGAGTTGTCTGCTGTATATGTATTAATCAATAGTGAGACTGAGGAACACATAAATAAATCACTCTGCCTAATGTATAGTGCAGTGCACTGACCCCACTAATGGGGCTGCCCGTGAGAGCTGTGAGCAGACCAGAGTTGGTTCTCACAAGGCTCGGTTAGCTCACGCAGAGGTCACTTGCTCGTGCAGATCAGTTTTGCTCTCAGCCGAGAGCAAAACTGACACTGATCTCCCTCTGAGAATTCATGTTCGTGAGGATGCTTTTTGCTCGTGCAGGGACGATGACTTAATGTCAGCCAGAATACTTGCGAGAGTTGCCTTTTGTTCACACAGAGCAGTTTTCTCTGAGTTTGGGTTTTGCTATTATTCTGAAACGATTCAAACTGAGGGAGAACAAGTTGTATCTGAGGAATAGTTTTTTTTTTTGTTGTTTTTAAATAATAAGGCAACATCAAGTGAACTTCATAGCAGAAGATGACACGTGCAATAAATCACACATTCTGTGTTGTTGATCGTTAAAGATTATAGCTTGAGTTATTTTAGCTGCTACTTAACTGTGTAGATACAGATACATCAGTTTAAAGCTCAGTGGTATTCCTCTCTCTCTCTCTATCTGTGAAAGTTAAGTGACTGGTTGTCTGGTAACATCGAGTAAAATCTGAAATATTTATAAGCACCACTCTTGTGTTTTTTTTCTGATAGCATCGCTCACACATGCTCTTCCTCTCTCTCTCCGTCTCTCTTTCTGTTTGTCTTTTTTCTCCGTCACTTGCCAGGTTACTATTTTGAGATCCGGTCCATCTGTGCTATAAGGATTAACACCCAGGTGGGTTCGTCTAGTGCCTCTGACACAGCTGATCCCCGTTCACTGTTTCAAAATCTCCTTGTGGCGCTCACTCGCTCTGTAGAAGCATCTACTTCCATTTGTTTGCACTCCCATTCTCCCTGTTGCCTGATGTTGTAGGTTGTTTTGAAGCTGCAGCCGGTCACGTATCTCTTTTGTTTGGTCAGGAGTACCTCGACGTGCTGGGGCGCCCCATGGTTCTGGCAGGCAGCGATGCCAAGCAGGTTCAGTGGACGAATGTATATCAGGATGCTTTGGTGAGACTGCATGACCTTGTTGGCTGTCTGTGATTAAATATAGTGAATGCACCAAACATACAGCACATACACACTGAATAATTGATGTGTTTTGGGACTCTGTAGGGTCTTGGCATGGTAGTAACTGGGACTTTGCCTGTATTTAATCTCACCATGGATGGAAACTCACAGGTAACAAAACTTGTAATTATATGAAAGGTTGAGTGTTTTTTGTGTTACAGGTTATGGCCACTTTCTCTTTTCATTATTTCAAAGGCACAACGTAGAACTGTTTGTATATCTTTGAATAATAAAAAAAAGCATATTTCCCAAAATGTCAAATACTTCCTAAAAGCAGCTGTATGTGTTTTATCTGATCAGAATCAGCTGATATTAGGTGTCATGGGGGTCGACGTGCATCTTGACGAGATAAAGCGACTAACACCACGGTATAATGTATGTACATCTCATTAGCACCATTATTAGCCACGTTTTTCATCATTTGTACCGACTGACACATAACTGCTATTCCTTGCTTTTATTATTTTCTGAACAGCTTGGAGCCAATGGATACATTTTTGCCATTGATCCTAATGGATATCTTCTCCTTCACCCTAACCTTCAGCCAAAGGTGGTGTATATTTAACATTATTTATAAAAACAAATTTAAACAAAAGATTTTACTGTGAGTTGCAGGGAGGAGGTATATGGGCCATACAGGTCCTTTGGGGTTTCAAATTCAAACGATTGTTTATGTATAGTTTAGATCATTTTGATGCTGGTGAACCTGTTATTGTAAATGTGTTTTTCTCACTTGACTCCTCTCAGCTGGTGAACCTCCCTGAGCCTGTGACACTGGACTTCCTGGATGCAGAGGTGGAGGACAGCAATAAAGAGGAGGTGAGCACTTAATGGCAAGTGGAACTGAAAAACTTCTGGTTTCAGGCATTTTCTGTTCCTTGTTGTTGTTCAAAGTTGTTACCGGGCCAGTGAACAACAATGTCTGCCTCAGGATAATCAGCCAACCAGTTAACTGAAGGCCCCAGGTTACATGTTTTACATGTTTGTGACTGAAAAAGAAACGCTTTGTATTTTCACTTTCTAGATCCGGCGACAAATGATTGACGGAAGACCAGGTGAAATGCAGGTCAAAACTCTAGTCAAGTCGATTGATGAGGCAAGTAAATTCCCTTTCTAAATAACTCCACAAATTCCACCTTTTAAGGTCGTACAATTCTACAAACAATCATCCAAACACAAGTTACCTGAAGTAAAATCAGATAAACTGTAACCTGTTTACTTTGGTTGACTGAAGCGTCCTCAATTGTCTCCTTTACTGTAGCAATACATTGACGATGTGTACAGGAGTTACACCTGGACTCCTATCAACGGCACAGATTACAGGTGAGCAGTTACAATGTTATGAATTACAAAAAACAACCAGCCAGCTGTGGCCTCATGAGGACTGCAGGCAATGATGGATTTCCTCTCCCTTCCTCTCTCGGTCTCCTCATTCTCGTGTCTCCCCGTTGGGATGCCGCCACCTGCAGTCTTGGTCTGGTATTACCCACCTACAATGAATACTTCATCCAGGCAGACCTGAGTGATGTGATGCTGCAGCTCCAGTGTGAGTACAGAGAGGCAGAGCTTTCAAGATTCTATTTCATAAGATGCAACACAAAGAGGAGATGAAAAAAAACTAACAGCACCCTCTGCCTCTGTTACAGATATGCAGTCGCTTCTGCCCAGCTCATTTGAATCCTCGGGACACGTGTTTCTGGCTCCCAGGTGACTACCATCTCTCTTTATAGTTCTCAATCTGTTAGTGAAGGGAACGTTTTCAGTATTTCTGTGCTCTCTTTCGACAGGGAATACTGCAAACGTCTGCATCTTTCTGACAACAACACCCAGTTTTTGCAGAACTTCCTCTCGCTCATGCTGGACATTTCCCCAGAATCTGATGAATGTGAGTGTGTTAGCAGCATTACGTAATTAGCAATATTTGCCACTGCTGCAGATGCACAGATGAGATCATATAATAATAAATATAATGGTATAACATACATAATATATTTTTATGTTTTTGTTTTTGTTTCAGGTGACCAAGGCCTCATCCACAACCTGATTTTGGATTCTAGGATTATCGGGCAGCTGGCCTCTCGTGTTTGGAAGAACAAGGACCTGAATTCGTGAGTCAACTTGTTTGCTTTACACAACATTCTCACGCACCATCCACCATCCACCAGCGTAAAAACAACAACAAACAACTTTGTGAATATGAACAGCAATCTGCTTTGATGGTATCTCAGTTGTGACAAACAGGCTGATTAAAATGTAATTGTTGCAGGTACGGCTTCCTGGCTGTATTTGCGTCCACCGATGGAGGAATAACTCGTGTTTTCCCCAATATGTAAGTAAGATTAATGCACTTACTAACACAGAGAAATAATAATCTCACAAATATTCACTCTGTAAATTTTTTCCCCAAAAAACTTTTGTAATGATTATTGTTGTGTTTGTACAGAGCTGCTGAGTTATGGGATGAGGATCCCGAACCCTTCAATTCAAATTATTATAGGCGGAGCCTCGACAACAAAGGCTACATGTTCAGAGCTCCGTCCAGGTCCTGTGAGTAACTGTGCAAACACATCCTAATGTGGCTACAATCAAGATTTCTTTGATAGCAGTGGATCAAATGACTGTGCATATGTGAAAGGAGTCACTCATAGTGATGAACCCACAGATAAATATCATGCATCTCTGCAGATTCCTTTATCGCTGCAGAGCTTTATAGGATCTTACGGCTCATTGGTTTGGTTTTACGGCCCGCGGCTTTGCTGTGTTGGTTCGCTCTCAGAGTATCGTTTTGGGTCACAGAAACCCACCGCACACTGCTCAGCACCAATCGACAAACTGACAACGTCAATCCTAGCTGGTGAACACGGTGGAGTATTTAGAAGCTTAAGAGTCAGATGTTTCTCTCTGGAGTTGGTGGAGAACAAAACAAAGCTGAAAGAGAGTGACTAGCATGTCTTCAAATGAATTGTATTGTTGCTCCATAATCGCTGAATGTGTAAATAAGCTGTTTGCTAACAAATTCACCATATTACTTAATAATTATGTATGCAATTTAGGTCAATTTTGTGTTCACAGCTTGTTTCTTCTGCTACTTTAAAGTGGCCAAAGAATGCAGGTTTAACGTACGAGACTTGAGTTCATCAAATGACAGTTAACTGTAAATGTTTAGTGATCATTTTAAACAGATTGATTTAGGATGAGCATGTGCGACAAAATAATCTCACAGTTTTATTCGGCAAACTATCTCAGGTGCCATCACAAGTGTTTTTGAACTGAGACTGGTCACAATTGTGAAATGATACATTCAGTATTCATACGTGTGTGACACCAAACTATGATCTGTTGTTTTGAAATCACATTTTGTTTGTGAACAGCGTTGGACGACCCTGTAGGCGCAGAAAATGGCACCGTTGGAATTCTGGTTAGTTCGGCTGTGGAGGTTAATTTAGGAGGCAAACTGCTCAAACCTTCAGGTGAGAAAAATGGCGTCATGTGTGAGACTTAATGTGGTATCCTGTGTCATGTGGGATTCCCAGGAAATCTAAAATATGTCTTCAGATGTTTCAGCTACGTCTGTTTTGTACTCTTCTCACCAAAACACTGCTTCTTGCTCTCTTCTTCCTCTCTTGTGATGATCGTGTGGATGTTGTCACTCAGTGGTCGGAGTGAAGCTGGACTTGGAGGCGTGGGTGGACAAATTTAAGATCCTGGCCAGCAATGTGTCAGACAGTCGACAGGGTTCGCACAAGGTACAGCTCTGGGACACTAATTACTAATCACTAATTACTTAATTAGACTGCATTTACTGCAAATAAAGTGGCATTATTGTCTCATTACACATTTTGTTGAAACAGTGTGGACCATCCAGAAGCTGTGAGATGGACTGTGAAGTGAACACTGACGTAAGAATGATTTGTAGATTGTAGCAGGCCTGCAACTTCAGCCAGATACTGTCCTCAGTTTTATGACCACAATTGCATCATTTAGAGGTTAAATGTGTTCTTAAATGTATATGTGATTATTTAATTGGTCTGTCGCTTAGAGGAAACTTTGTGAACAGTTTATAAACCAGTTTTATTCTGTTTTGACATTTAATTACTTGAAAACTTGGAGCAAGTGTACATATATTATTATTACTTAATATAATATATGTTGGCTTCTTTTGACAATGGAGTCTGGCATGCTTAATTCACGACCAAATGATTCATACAAAAAAAGGTTTTTAGCAGTTTGATATATTTTTATATATACAAAAATAATATACTCTGCCTTTAGCATGTATGAAAGACATATTATACATTTATTGAATTTCAGCTTTTCACACTTGCCTGCAGGTTTTTACAGTCAGCCGTCTTCTCTTAGAAGATCATGTCAACCTGTATATTGAGGTTGTCTGTGCTGTTGCTGTTCTAACTTGATGTACACTCTGCTGTTGTTTGTAGGACCTCCTCTGTTATCTCATTGATGATGGTGGATTCCTGGTTATGTCTAATCAAAGAGATCATTGGAAAAAAGTATGTCTTTGTGTGGTAATGTGCTTATTAGTCTTTAATACTGAAGGATTTCATCCAATATCTACTTTTAGAAGAAAGTATGCAGTATGTCTTATTCACTATGTTTTTCAAGTGAGGCAAAACTAAAGGTTTTGTTAATGGTGTTATTTTTATTTCATGTTTTACATCCTATTTACTATGTTTGCTTGTGTTGAAAATTGTTTTTAATCTCCATTTCCTTCGGTTTATAGCAGTTCAGTTCAGTTCAGTTCAGTTCAGTTCAGTTCAGTTCAGTTGTCGCTGGAGGGCCAAATAACTGAAACAACAATAGAGAGAAGAAAGTAACAAGTGCGAAACTTGAACAAACTTTATTTTAAGCCACCATTTGGCGCTGTTTCCCTTATGTTTATGTGCTTTCTTTTCATCTCTGTAACTGTCTTTTCATTTTCTTTCATCCATCACAGATCGGTCTTTTCTTTGGCGATGTTGACGCTTACCTGATGCATGCACTCTACAACAACTCAATCTTCAATCGCCGTCAGTCTTTCCACTACCAGTCGGCATGTGAACCAGTCAGCAGCAGCCATACTGGTGCAGCACCGAGGGGCGTCTTTGTGGTAAGAGACCAGCTGCAGATTTTAGATTCAGGAACATTTTATATAACGTGAGTTGGTGGAAAGCTCTGATCTGTTATCACTGTTTCTGTAGCCCTCCATTGCTGACATCCTCAGCTTGGCCTGGTGGACATCCACGGTGGCATGGTGAGACTTTGTTTACTGCAAATAAAACGACACCAAGAGCATGTTAGGTGTCCTTTAATACATTCTTAACTGTGTATAAACTTCTGCACATGAAACCAGTAGCTGTGACATGTTTACTGGGATGTATTGATTGAAGTGCAATGTGAACACTTTTTCAGGTCTGTGACCCAGCAGCTGCTATATGGACTCGCCTACAACAGCTGGCTCTACCAAGGTGGATTTGTGCATCTTAACACAATCTTGTGTGCTCATAAATATTTAATAATAATAACACATTTTATTTGTATAGCGCTTTAAAAGGTATTCAAAGGCACTTTACATGGTAAAAACATGGTAATCTGTGCGATTAGTTCGTTTTAATGTTAACAATGATACAATTTAGATGAAAAAAGTCACTTTTGCAAACATCAACAAGCAGCTTATTTGCATTTTGTCCTTATTTTTTGCCTCAAACTTCTGTTACCATAAACATGTTCTGAGCTGACCCCATTAAAAGGAGATTTTATTAACAATGAAGCGTGTTCTTGCAACGGGGCATCCGGCAACAACATTTAGATGAGCGTGTACATAAAATCTGGGTAAAAATCTATTTAAACCAGTTTGCTCCTGTTTAAAACATCTTAGTATCAATTAAAAAAACAAAATTACCTTTAAAAATATTATAAACATTATACTAAATATTCAACGTCTGTGTTCCAGATGATCTCCTGGTTGAAGGTTTTGAGACAAGGGAAAGCAGCTGTGTGACCATCCAAAGCCAGTTCTACTTTACAAACACCACCAACTCCTACAACATGCTGCAGGACTGTGGAAACTGCTCACGGTGTGTTTTTCTGGAGGGTCAGCAGAATGTGCTTGTGCTCTCATACCTGTACTGTACGTACTGTATGAAGTTGGCTAAATATCCATCACTGTCTCCCACAGGCTTTTCCACGCAAAGCGGATAGAAAATACCAACCTCCTCTTTGTAGTGGCTGAGACGCTCCCCTGCAGCTCATGTGAGATAGAGAGATTGACACAGAGCCGGACAGAGTGTATCCTTTTCATGCTCACACACTCTGTGGTGCTTTCATTTGTGCTTAAGATGGAAATCTCGTCAATCTTGTGGGGCAGGTAAGTTCACTGTTACCACCCTTAACTAAAAACAAACAGTTCAGGAGGAGAATCCATGCGAAGTACTGAGCAACGCACGATATCGTAAAGGCCCGACATCCTGCTTTGACTACAGTGCCTTAGTAAGTAGACACACTATGAATACGGCATTATATTTCTGCCTCCATCCTGAGCGTTCAATGGGACATTTTTAGCACAGAAAGATATTTTTGTAAACACATAAACTACTTCCTGTGACAATAGGGAATTATTGTTACAGCAAAGATAATTGGATTTTTAACAAACAAAAATATGCCCTCTCTGCGTCCCTGCTCTCAGCACTCACACATCTTTATACAATTCTAGTTGTAAATTAGCCTCTACCTAGCTAACTTGGTTTATAGCTAGCTAATCTCTAAGCTAGTTGGCTAACTACACATCAAAAGCAATAATCATTAATGTAGTTAATTAAAAAGAAGAAAACTGTGCCACTAAAACAGACTGTGCTACATCATTTTAAAAGCTATAGGGTGGTGAACAGTAATTAGTTGGACTACAAATTAATTAACGATCATAGTGCTGAGTAGCTAGAAATTATCAAGCACACTAGATTACTTAGCTACTGCTAATTTAGCAGAAGAAACGAACGAACAAGATAGCTAGGTAACTAAAGCACAGACTATCTTAATGCCGTCCTAGTAAAGCTGCCATTATTCTTCATCAGACCTGCTTATCGGATAGTTGAGTAGCTTTGGAAACTCATTCCCCTTGTAACAATCTGACATCCACAATAACTTCCCAGTATTATGGCCAGCTGTGCGGAGGCAAGAAAGGAGCTAGAATTTGAACTCCTCTCATTTTGCTCTCTACTTGTAATCATGATACAAGTATTTCTGTCACTTTCTATGTGAACAACACCACGAAGTGAGAGACAGTCTATCAGGAGAAACTATTTGAAAATGTGCCACATTATCCCCATATTTCCACAAAAGCAAATCCCCCGTCTTTATGACTATTCACTCATCCTTTCAGTGGAGCTATTAACACAACATCGTACGAACGAGTTGTTTTTGGGCATAACTCGAGCCAAAGTATCCTATACCAGTAACTGGATTGGAAGCAAATCAGCCGATCTTAAACAATTTTACTGCTGGCTGTAATTGTGGCACATTGCATTACAATTATTTTCCTACAAACTATAATGTATGTGCTCGAAAAATATCTGTTTCTGATAATATACTTTTCTCTATTAGAAATGTCACATTGAACACTTAGAAATGAGGCACAAATTCCATTTGTTCGATGTACAAGTGATGAGTAATTTCCTTTGCAAAAATAGTATTTATTGTTAACTCTCGTTGCAGGAAAACACATCAGAGTGTGGACGAGCTTGTGCACTGCAGTCCTCTATAGGAGTCCTTCTCTTTATTCAGCTTACTCTGCCTCTTTTTCATCTCTGACACGTGCAAACACTCTAACTGACATCTTTCATCTCTTTGGGTTTAGGCTCGGATCTACTGAAGGTCAGATCAAACAGCTACTGCAAAATTATTATTTCTTTTGATGTACAAATGGCACACAGCGCATTTGTGCTTGAAAAAAATGTGCTCTTAGTGTTTATTGCCTTATTGCTTATACATTTGTTGGTGTTTCAGGGTTTGCTTGAGTGCAAATTATAGAATGTGTCGAGTGTGCATGCTACTTAAACTAAGACCAGCATGTTTAACATTTTTGCACACATGCTCAGCCATGTAAGCAACCACCAAATAGTCAGGGAGGCAGCTGAAATGCACTTTCAACGGGCCAATAAGTGATCACCCAGCAGGAACAGACGTCAGTCGCAATTTTAGGTTTGATTGTGTTGGTGAAATTATAAAACTCCGTTGAACGTATTTGCTTTGTGGTAAATACACAGTGGTGGAAAGAAGTATTCAAGTTTTTCTTACGTTGCTCAAAAGATACCAGAAAAAGTCACGTAGTCAAGATTTTACTTCAGTAAAGGTAGAGAAGTATGAGCAACAATATTAAGTTAAATTAAAAATACTTATTTGACGGCAGAATGGGTCCTATCAGTGTTGTCGCCACATATCATGCATTATATTATCATGTTATTATTGCTGATTAATTATTAACTATTAAGCATCCATTTTAATGTTGTAGCTCGTCAAGATGGAGCTCGTTATCACTACTTTATATGCTGTTGGGTAGTTTATTTATAACAATTATTTTTGAAATTCAGCATAGGTTTGTAAAATGTTGAAATGAAAAGTAATTACAGCTGTCAGATAAATGTAGTGGAGTAACAAGTACAATATTTCCCTCTACGATATAGGTGAGTTGGAAGTATTAAAGGTGCTCTGTGGAGTTTTCTATCAAGCAAAGTTTTCTGTCTACAGTCGATGTTTCTAACCAAAAGACATTTTGTGTATTCTTGAGGTCTAACGAATGTGTTGAATGCACTTCCTGCCTCATAAAACATTTTGATTAATCTTTTGAAAATGTTGCAACTGCTTTGTTTACATACTTGTTTACTTGTTTGCAGTCTTCTTCCCCCCTGAATTTTCTGGCGTATTGCAACATTTCTTAGCGCGTCACTGCCACCCGTAGATCAGTGGGATAGCGTGAAACCATTGGCGGGACTGTGTATATCGCGTACACAACAGCACCAAAACGTGGACCCATGTACAAAGACATTGGTCAGAAACTTCACAGAGTACCTTTAAAGTAGCAAAACATGGAATTACTTATGTAAAGTGCAAGCAACATCAGCAATGCACCCAAGCTTTTTGGCAACCGCTTTGTGGAGAGAGTAGTTTGAATTTTTAGAACTTTTATTGTCACTCTCTGACACCATGTTGAACAGCTCTGAATATATTTATATAACTTTTCAGCTGTAGGATTAACAGCATTTGTGTGTTTGGGATGGCTCATTAGATGAGGCCCACCTCAATAGTTATCTGTTTATATGGATTTACAATTTCCAAACAACTGCTGGGTAAAGCGATCCAAGGCATTTACACAACGTTAGATTGTGCACACCACACATAAAGCTAACTGCTACAGCGGGAAAATGTAAATAGATTGACAGAATCTGCTGAGCTCAGACGCTGCTGCTTCTGGAAACTTCTGCTTTTGTTGGCTTTGTGAAATTGAAAATGAATTATCTCTGCCAGTTCTACTTTTCATGTCCCGTCCTGGTAAATATCTTTGCACATAAAGGAGCTCCCTGCACCTTCAGCGGTTTTTACATGATAGTAGATCCGGGCCTTGACCTCACATTCACTTCAGTGTCTTTCAATCCAACTCTGACCTTCTGCCAAGACTTTCAGTACTTTAAGTTATATCATACATGACATGACCCAGAATGATTTCCTTCTGCCGTCTCAATTACACCCTGTCTCTTTAAGTATTTTTTGTCCCCCTAAAAATATTTTGACAAAGTATGTGAGTAGTATGCCAGTATGAGGAAAAATACCAGTGTTAGACCTTCAGCAAGATTTTGTGACTTTAAAATCAAAGTAGATTCATTCATACGAGGAGCGTTTAAGTCAAGGTTTGTTGAAATGCTTCCAGAGATACACGGTATGATCTTGAAGTGCTTCCAGTTGATAAGAATTGTTAAAGGGTGTAAAATCAAACAAAAACACTCCAAATTATCAAATTTTAACAGTGATTTTTTTCTTTTACAGAACTGTAGTAGTGAATCCTCCAAACCACTGCATGGTTTAGTGCAATAATGTTGTGATAATCTGATTCTAGCAGTAATTATCATTGCAGTCAATTTATAATCAAATTTAGATTTTGCGTAGTTTACATGCAGTGTTATCTCTGTAGTCTTAAAGCACAAAACATGTGCAGACGTCAGTGTGTGATAGACATGTTTTTAAACATCATTTATTTGATGGATGGGAAGCTCTCTGTCCATTTTTGTATCTTGTATCGCCACTATTTGTCAAACCTGAATTTATGCACTTATGTCTGCTTCTTTATGGGGAATGTAGCTTCTGAACAGCTTTCGATGTTATCAATATGTTATCAGTATGTGAGGCTTTTTGACCCTCTGTTGAGATTCCCCTGATGTCTCCTTAAAAGTGATGATTTGCTGTGGCGAATATTTTTATTTTATCATGCGTACCTTGTCACAGCAGTGATATCTGATTCTACTTTTTACTCAATTATGAAGCTGTAAAATTCAGTAATTTACTCACAATGAACTGTCAGCCCAGTACTGTATGTATGGGGATATTACTACTTGAGTTTGAAGCGTTTAAATTGTACAATTTATTTAATTTATGTCAGAATTAATGCTCTTTTTGTTCAGGTGTAATATTATGGCCATGATGTAGTAGTATGCCTTATTTCAAGTTCAAAGAGTGAGCAGGGTGTCCAGTAGCCTAACAGGCTGTTTTCACTAAAACTCTTTTGTGGTTAATTTTACGAATAAGGCGACAGCAAATGTGATGTTAAAACACATTACATCTGTTAATTATTGTGCTATATTATAAATCATGTTTTTAGGAAAATATTAATGTTTTTCCACAAAACAAAGATGGATTAACATGGTTTAACTGATTGACTACACGATTGACTCTATTTAAGATTAGCACATTTTTAAATGTATTCTAGTGAAGTCTTTGTAACATAATAGTGTAAATCCATCCTGTTTCTGAGGAGTTATGCATGATAAAATCCTGAAAACATTTTCCCACAGTGATTCATCAGTCCCCGGTGTTGTTTTGTGTGTTTTCTGATCATTTGATCTGGTTAAAGAGTTAATGGGGATATTTTTAAAAAGCTTTTTTGTCAAAATATTTGTAAAATGTTGTTTCTCTCTGTCTGCCTGGTGTTCCACCCTGCAGTGCCTTGTTGCACTCATTTTGGATGGCAGGAACCTTTGGCTCTTAGATGTGTTGACGTTCATCCTGCAGGGCCATACGAAAGACACACTTGGAAGTTTAAGGGTTGCAGTGGTTCAGCCCTAAATGGACTTCTCAGTCAGGGAACAAAAACAAAATGCTCTTCATGAACTTATGAAGCATTTTGAAAGGAGCACAGCAAAGTTGTGAAAGAGCACAACAGAAGTGTGTCAAGCAACTGGCCTCCCCTCCTGCCTTCTCGTGGACAGATGTTTGTCAAAGCAACGAGAACGAACCCTGCTGCCCTTCTTCTATGTGTCGTTTATCTCTACACTGTGGTTCAACCTTGAATCTAAGCACAGACGCTGGCCATTTCCATAGATTTACTTTGTCCCATATGCACACTGTATACTCTATATTTTAAGCCTGTCGGAAACATGTAATGTTCCATTACTACTGACTGAAACGAGTGAATGTTTATGTACAGTAATACCTACTGTTGTGCTTCTCTGCTGTACCCGAGCATGGTGGGAACCAGGAGAAGCAGATTTAAGCTCAACGCTGTTTGAAGACCTCAGCAAAAACACTGCTTTCAAAAGAGTATTAAGTATTAATAAGGTTATAGTGCATTATTCAAACAACACTGTTGTACACTGAAGGAAAGACATTTTATGGAACTCTTTATAGCCTACAATATATTACTACTGTTGAGGTCAGTGTTGTAGTTTCATCTTGAATTACCGGTATTAATTTGCATGATATTTTGAACAATTTACAAATTTGTGTACATAGTCTGATGGATATTTTACATTCCTGTCCACATTCAGCTCTCCATTACTGTGGGGAGAAGTGAGGGCGCCCTCTGCGGATATTTGTGGTGATGTGGAGGCCTCAGAGCTCGTTGATGTGTGTAACTGAATGAAGCAGAACGTTTGACTTCAGTGAAGCCTACAATAACTGTCAGTGTTTGCAATTTAGGTTTTTGCAGCAAGTAAAAGCACAGAGAAGTTATGAGCAACTTACTGCCTGATTAAACTTTTGTCATTTATTTAGGAAAAAAAGTGACATAAAACTGCTGGAGATGATTTATGCATTTAAAGGCTGTCATAGCATAAAAATAAGGCAGTGGCATGTGTGGGGACACCCTTTTATTAATTCACTTCTTTTATGAAATTGATGTTGCTTATTTAATTCATTTATGTATTATTTTATTTGTTTATTTGTTCGGATATTGTGAAAATATTTGAACATGAAGGAATTGAATGTGTTTGAAGCTTGCGTGGTCTCACTAAGCAGTTTACAAGAAAATTGCAAAATAGACAAAAACAAAAAAAACATATATATATGTATGTATATATACATATATATATACATACATATATATTGTTTTTTCTTTATATATATATATATATATATATATATATATATACTGTATGTTCTTATCCTTTTTATTTACTGAGTATCAAATCAGAAGAATGTTAACGTTTTTTGCTGTAATTTTGCTTTTCCTTTTGCTGACATTGTTTACTCGGGAAAGTTTCCTCTCTTTGTGCCAGTCTCCAATGCCACCTCATTTTTGTACAGACAATGCGAAGTGGTCAGCAGAAGATGAAGGTTAAATTTGTAAAGATTTTGTCAGTCACATTACAAAAATGGATATTTAAATGTTTATATCTTTGGTCATTAAATGCTGTTGATATTTTTCACTTCAGCTCTGATTCCTTATTGTACTTCACTGATCTATTTCAAGACCATAGTTTCTCAAAGTGCGGCCCGCAGACCAATGGCAGCTCTCGGAAACATTTTTGGCTGCCCCTAACGTGAAATGAAATACATGCATTACATTTTAATAATGCACCGTCCATTTATACGATACTTTTACTTTCTTTTCTTTTTTACTTTACATTGCGTTTAATACACTACTCTGCTAGCATCAAACTGCACTCTCCTAACATGTGTCTGTTAGGTTAGGAATGACAATTTGTAGAATAAATGGTTGCATGACAATGAGTGGCACCTTGCAATTGTCACTGGAATTGCCTTCTGTCATCAATGCTGGTATTGCTGGCTAAGGTTTGCGATTTTTGTGGACAAATCTGCAGTTTAATGTCCAACTGAGGTGGAAAAGATTTTATTTGTTATGTATGCACTAAATCATATGCTGGCTCCCTAAAATGGCACCAAGTCATCAAAACTTTGCTGTGTCATAAAAAAGTTGTAAATATAATGTCATAGGATTGTATGCATTAGACATTTTATAAAAAGTCATAGAATAGTATGTCATAAAAAAAAGTCATAGTTTAATATGCAATGAAAATGTAATTGTTTAGTATGCCTTTTAAAATTCATAAAATGTCAAAGTACATGTCATAGAAAAATCATACCATGGTTTGCCATAAGTAAAAAACATCTATTAAAATAAAAAGGTGCAGTAGAATAAATCATGAAAATGTCGTAGATAGCAGGTCAAAAAATGTCAAAACTAATTAGAAAAGAATAGTTACAGTAAAGTTTGTCATAAGAAATTTCATTAAAAAGTCATAGCATAGTATGTCATAAAAAGGGTTGTAATATATTCTATTATTGATTTTAATAAAAGTCATAGTATAGTATGCAATTTAAAAGTAATTTAAAAAAGTAATAAAAAAAAGCCATAAAAACATCAGAGTTTAGCATGTCGTAAATTTCTTCTTCTTTTTTAAAGTAATAGCATTGTATGCCATAAAATGAGTCATTATATGTCATAAAAATATGATAAGTCATATGATAGTATTCATAGAAAGGTAATTGAGGAAGTCATTGTATTGTATGCCATAAGCAGGTCCAAAGATGTCCTAGTATAGCATGCCATTAAAATGTCCTATGAATAGTAGGTGTTGAAGAAGATCCAGGTATCCATTGACTGGGGTTACACATGGATTGTGGTTGCACTTGCTGCCATAGCTCTGCTTGACACACTGCTGCTATTGTTAGTAGTACACTTCGCATAATCAAATCTTTGGTGTTAACAAACAAAATTAAAGTTTTTATCTTTACATGAAAATATCTTATTCTAAATAAATTGTAATTGAAATATAAAAAGTCATAGTGTAGTATGCCATAAAGAATGTCATATAATATGTCATAAAAAAGACATAATATGGCATGCCATAAAATACTTGCAGAAAGCTACTGGTTGTATGGCACCTAGTTGCACCATACGAGTGTTGCAGGAATTTGTCATCAAAGCTTTTAGCTAAAGTAGTTTTAGTTGTATCACTTACAATGTAGTGAACTGTATCACTCTAGTATATTTCAGTGAGCAGCTCTTCCATTATCTAATGCAGAAAGACTCTGTGTCAGCTGTCAAAGATTAAAACATGAGTATTGGGGAGGCTTGGACAAGGATCAGAAAAGAAATCCAAGAGTCGAGCAGCTTGTGTGAATGTCATGTGCAATTGCTCATAAGTCAGTCAGTAAAGGTATCAAACACTAAGCTGAGGTCTTCAGGGAAAGATGATAGGTTGCTGGCTACTTCCGCAGACGCAAAAAGCTTGAGATGGGAGTTGTGGGATGTTCTGGCTCCTCTGATTTATTAACCCAACTGTTCTGCATGCCAGCCGGTTTCAATGGCCTTGTTTGGATTAGTGACATCTTCTGTCCAGCAGGCATTGTGCCTTGTTGTGTGGCTTAAAGAAGTACACTGTCTGATTTAGCCATGATATCAGACCATCGGTGTTTGGCAATGCAGTTGGGCTCATTGTTATTTCAATGCATCATATAAAGTATAACCAGCAGACCTCAGAGGCTCTTCTCTCATAAACTGAACATCAGAGGTACTGAACAGATGAAGCTTTCAGGAGAGACGAGGTCTGCTGCAGAACATGACTTCCTGTTGGGTAAAACAGTTTTTAATTACAATTTATCAAAGAGAACTAGAATCTGTTGTAACGTCAGTTGTTGTGTACATTTTTTATTCTATAGTTGACATTATAAATGTCATTAAATGTTTCTGCATTATGCGTAAGGAAAGCATGTTTCTTTTCAAGATTGTAAAACGGTATTCAGAAGGTAGTGCGTTCCACTACATTGTTAATAACTGCTTAAACATTTGAGGCAATCAATAGCTTTGAAAAAAATAATTTGGAAGTATTTATGAGAAAACATTTGAGAAACATGGATGTAAAATGGGCTAACAATTGTAACAGGACTGGATCTTAAAGCAGGTTTCTTTTTTTGTGAATTTGATACTTCCCTAACATGGATACAGTTATTTGGGAGGCAGTCTAAACAGAATTTAAAGAAATTAGTTATTCAGAGAAAAATACCACTGTAAACTATACTAAGCTGTGTGTTGATAGGCATGCATAGGAAATAAAAAAGACCAAAATACAACATTTAAAACTACACAAATACTTGTCCCCTGTGTGTGCGGTAAAGAGAGACCTCTGACGGGTCTGGTGCCACAGATTCAGGAGCAAACAGGTGCGGTAAGATTAGCTGTGGCAAAGCCAGCTGTCATTTGTCTCAATGTTAATGAAATGGCTCCCCAAAGAGGAAGCACACAGTCCTGGATGGTTGCTTTACTCCCAAAGGATTTGTGTAATTTATTTTCTTCTCTGCTTTCAGGAAGAGCGGTGGTGCAACAAGTAAAACACACTCCATCTTTACTGCCATTTGACTCACAATTTGAGTATGTGTTTGTCACTAACCAT